ATAAGAGTCTCATGGACTTTCTTGCCTGGGCTGGCTTTGAACCATGATCCTCAGATCTCAGCCTCCTTAGTAGCTAGGATTATAGGTGTGAGCCACTGGTACCTGGCTCCATGAGACAATTAACCACGGAAAAATTGGAAATGACTCTGTGGCTCAAGTGGTATAACACTAGCCTTGAACACAATAGGTCAGGGACCGCGTCCTGGCCCTGAATTAAAGACCCAGGCCCAGCACAAAAAATAAAAATAATTTAAAATTCCGCAGTAATTTTCAGGTACATTAAAGTTTAAAGACTACTACTTAGATTTCCTCTGTTAGGCCTTTGAAACAGAGTTAATCATTGTATTTTCCCACTCCAGTATTGCATCCTCGTTGTGTGCTGCCTAGAGTTGTGCAGACTAAAGCTCTAATTAATTAATTAACTAACTAGTTTTCCGGACCTCACAATGTTCATATAGACACTAAACTTTTGAGCAAAAATTGAGTTACATACCAATGAATGAACCAACCTAAGGGCCATCACAATTAAAAGATAAGGTTTATCGAAATCAAACTATTTCTTGTTTGGAGGTGGTATGGACAACTGCAATCCCAGCTTCTCCCAGCTACTCAGGAGGCAGAAGGCGGAGGAGGGTAAATTTGAGGATAGCTCAGTAATCACTAGCATGGCTGTATCTCAAAACCAAAATACAAAACAATAGAAAAGTATAGCTTAAGCGTCAAAGTGCTTGCTAGAGACCCTGGGTTCAATCTCCAACATTCTCCAAAACAAAAGTTACTCCTTGAATCATATTGGGAAATCAGTTACTCCTTTTTTTTTTTTTTTTTAATCCTCGAATCTTATATATGTGTTCCTATGGTACATATAGAAAGAGGGGAGGAATGTGAAGAGAGTGTTTTACAGGTACCAAGAACATTGATTTTTTATTTTTTATTTTTTTGGTTGGTCATGGGGCCTGAACTCTGGGCCTGAGCACTGTCCCTCAGCTCTTCAGCTCAAGGCTAGCATTCTACCACTTGAGCCACAGCGCCACTTCTGACTTCTTTTTTCTTATGTGGTGCTGAAGGAATCGAACCCAGGGCCTCATGCATGCATGCACTCTACCACTGAGCCACCTTCCCAGCCCCAACATTGTTTTGTTGTTGTTGTTGTTATTATCAATAATGTTATTATTTTCACATAGCAAGTGCTAGCAGGAATAGGAAAGGACTTGACCTGAAATTGACTTTGAAAGTTTGTTCAGTTGAGCTCCCTTTAGCAGGAACATTTTTGTTCACTGTCTGAAGTAGCCATTAGAGAAAAATGTGGCCCCTTTCCTCCAAGGCTAAATTCTCGGCTCCCCTAACTACAGGTAGAATCCAAAGTGTCTTAGTTTGATGTCTTTTTTGGCTGATCGGTTTCATGGTGTCATATTTTTTTTAACTATTTTTTTTTCTTTTTTGGTACTGGGGATCGAACCCAGAACGTTGCACTTGCTAGGCAAGCACTTTGCCACTGAGCTAAATCCCAGCCCAATGGTGTCATATTTTTAAAAGGACTTTTCCACACAAAGTGGGGGGAAGGAAAAATAATAGCAAAAGAAATTTCAACAAAAAGTGCTGTTGGAAGCCTTTCCTCAGATGATGTTGGCACTTAGAACTTTTTACTCAAAGCTCTTCATTTCCTGCAAATATTTTTTTTCACAGTTCCAAAGGTGGAAGAGGCTCTGAAAAGCAAAAAGTACTGGGCTTTTTTTTCCTTTCCTTTTTTTTTTTTTTTGGTCCAGTCATGGGGCCTGAACTCTGGGCCTGGGCGCTGTCCCTCAGCTCTTCAGCTCAAGGAGAGCACTCTACCACTTGAGCCACAGCGCCACTCCCGGCTTTTTTCTTTTTGCATATGGGGTGCTGAGGAATCGAACCCAGGGCCTCAGGCATGCAAGGCAAGCGTTCTACCACTGAGCCACCTTCCCAGCCCCCTCCTTTTTTTTTTTTTTTGCCAAGAGTGAAGCTTAAACTCAGAGCTAAGTCTTCTTACTTAGCTTTTTCACCCAATGTTGGTGCTCTACCACTTGAGCTACTCCTCCGTTTTTGGCTTTTTTTGTGGTTAATTGTAGATAAGAGTGACAGACTTTTCTGCTTGGGCTAGCTTCAATCCATGATCCTCAGATCTCAGCCTCAGTACTTGGCCTCAGTAAATGCTGTGCTGTGCTTTTTAAAACCTGTTTACTTCTGTGTCTTAACTGCACTGAAGTTTTCCATACCCGGCTGTGTATGACAAGCTGCAAAGCATACATAATAAAACTAGACTTCTAATTATGCCAATTGATGGGTAAAAACTTACTTCTGGGTCCAAACAGCTGTTAAAATCCATCATATTTACAATTTTTATAAATGAATTTATTTTAATAAAAACAAGTTACTCTGTGAGCATGATCTCTAAACAGATTTATGTGAGCTGACACAATCTGCTATGCTAAACATATATGCATATTGCTTAAGTCTGCAACCTTTTTTTTTTGTAAAGTGGTGTTAACAGTCTTGCTTTGTGCAAGGATATCAAATAATTGGCAGCACTTGGGTTCAGGACACTGTTCTTAGCACTGTGCTATTGAAATTGTTTTCCTGGACAGAGCTGCCTTGTGGGTGTGACCCTAAATTGAGAGGATTCTGGGTTGCTGGCATTGGGCAGTGAAGCAGGCAAACAGCTTACAGAGAGATGTCTATAAACTGGTGCTAAAGAGGAGTTAGAAAAGGAAGATAGGGAGAGAGGAGCGGGAGGGAGCAGGGAAGATGACAGGAAGAAGGAAGAGAAGGGAGGGAAGAGAAAGGGGAAAGACGGGGAGGGAGGGAGGCAGAGAGAGAGGCAATACACACAGACAAACACATAGAAGCATAAACAGAAACACAGAAAAAAACACATACAGAAACTCACACAGAGAGAAACATGCAGAGAGAAACACATACACATAGAAATACACTGAGAGACACTCTACATTTCCATATCCCTAAGGCCCTCCGTTTCTCCGTTGATGCCTTCTTACCTTTTATTTTGATACATCTTTGATACATTTTTATTTTTATGTTCATGGCTAAAGGACCACTAGCCCATAAGCCGGCAGACAGGAATATAGTCTGGTCTTCTGGGTCCACCAGGTCTACATTGATGATTCAACCAACTGTGCATCAGAAATGTTGGGGGGGGAGGAATTTCGTTTGTACTGAACATGTGTTCACTTCTTTCTTGTTAGTCCCTAAAAAAAAAAATCCTTCAACCAACTATTTACATTCCATTTACTTTTCATTAGGTATCACAATAACCTATACAGATGATTTAAGGTGTATAGGAGGATGCATATAAATTATATGCAAATACACCATTTTATATATGGGACCTCAAGATCCCTCTTTTTTTTTTTTTTTTTTGGTGGTCATGGGGCTTGAACTGTGCCTGGGCGCTGTCCCTCAGTTCTTCAGCTCAAGGCGAGCGCTCTACCACTTGAGCCACAGTGCCACTTCCGGTTTTCTAGTGGTTTATTGGAGATCAGAGTCTCGCAGACTTTCCTGCCTGGGCTGGCTTTGAATCGTGATCCTCAGATCTCAGCCTCCTGAATAGCTAGGATTACAGGCTGAGCCACCGGCGCCCGGCTGATCCGTTTTTTGATCTCCTGGAGGGTTCTAGAACAATCCCCCTTTGGGGTACCAAGACACTGGACAGCCTTAGCTATGCTTCTATCAGTTTTTTTTTCCCCACAGCACCTGGCATAGTGCTCAAAAAGGTGGTGGTTAAGTGAAGGAAAGAACAAATTTCTGTATTCTAGGTGGGCACCACATTGACTGGGGAACATACAGAAATTATATGGGCACAAGTTCCATCTTCTAGCTCTTTCGGGCATCAGAGTATTTACAATCTGAAACCCTAATCTTTAAATTGCTATTGGTATTAGCCCAGCATTTTATTACAAAGGCTTTCCTCTCCTTTTTTTTTAACCCCTGTGTTAGGAAAGCATTATATTGGCTTCTTGAGATCGCTTGTATAGCTCACCTTATGAATTCAACTCCGGGAGCCTAAAATGCCGTTAAACTTGCGCTGGAAGTGCGGAGTGCTGGGCAGAATTGCGTGTGTGATTAAGCCCGGGCAAGCACAGGTTCTGGCAGTCGCAGGTGCCAGCAACCAACGCTGACTCCAGCCGTCGGGCTTTCACTTTAAGCATCTGCATATTTTAGGATTAATGGGGGGGGGGGGGGCACGGCTGTCACTGCACTAAGGTCCCGGCCGGGGAGGGGTGGGGATTCCGGGACCCTGACCGTGCGTCCAGGACTTCGGAAGGCGAGTCGATGCCTTGCTTTTGTTTGCATTTTTCGTGTTCACGATGATGTGGGGCTGAAGGGAAGGGGCGGTGGAGGGACCGGCTGGAGCGCGTGAGTCGGGGGCGCGGGGACGCGGGGAGCGCGGCTTCGTCTCGCAGGGCTGTCCAGAGGGGGGTAAACTGCACTTCTGGTGTGGGCGGCTGGGGGCGCGGCCGGCGCGGAGCTGCGGACGACGGCTCCGGACTGCGGGGATGGGGGTGCGGGGCGCCGGCGCCGGGAATCCCAAGGAGCGCGGGGGCGTGGCCTCCGGCGGGCGTGGCTCCCGCCGAGGGGTTGGGCTGGGGGAGTCCCGCCTGAGGGAGGTGGAGCTTTTGGTTAAAACGGGGGCGGGGCGGAGGGGGGGTTGAGCGGAAGACAGCACGCCTACCCTGCGACCTGGCGGTGACAGCAGGAGGGCGGAGCGCCAGGAAGGCGAGGCTGGAGCCCGACTGGAGAGGGACCAGGCTAAGCGCGGCAGTGGGCGGAACTATCGGCGGCAAGGGGCGGGGCCGCGGCGAGGCAGAGGGGCGTGGTATCGAGGGGGCGTGGTTTCTGGTGACAGGGGGCGGGGCGCGTCATCCCGTCCCGCGTCGCGCGGATCCCGGGGAGCGGCTCGGGTCGCACCCTGGGGAAGCGACGGGGTGTGGGAGTGGGGAGCGCGGCGCGGCGCGGCGCGGGGGGCCTGTGGAGGACCCCCGCCTCGGTCGGCTCTGTCTCCTCCCTCTCCGCCCCGGGCCGCCCGCTGGGGCTTACGCCACTTCTCACGCTCTTACCGTGGGTCCCCGAGCTCCGTGGGGGGTTGTGGAGCTCCGAGGCCCGTCCGCGGGCCGGCCGAGTGGTTCCGGGTTTAGGGTTCACAGGTCAGAGTTGACTCCCAGAAAAGTGCAGTCGGTTTGAAATGCAAGATGGCGGCGGCGGGTGTCTGAGAGGCGCGGCGGCCCCTGCAGGTAGCGGCGCGAGCGGGCTGGGCGGCGCGGGGCCCCGGCGGCGCGGGCTGGGGTGGGAACCTGCGCCGAGGCCGGCGGCCGGCGCGGGGAGCGAGCGCGCGGCGCGGGCGGCCGGAGGGAGGCGAGCGGGACGCGGACCGGCGGGCTGAGCCCGCCCGCGGCGGCGGGCGGTGGGCGGCCCCGGTGCGGGGCATCCGCGGCGCGGGACCGGGCCTGCCCCGGTGGCGGGGAGACCGACCGCGGGGGACCGACCGCGGTTCCTGGGCGTCCTCCGGCCGGGGGGTGGGAGGCGGGTCTGGCTGAGGGCAAAAATCTCAGCTCCTGACTTTGCGAGAAGATGGAGCAACTTGGGGTTGTGCGGGGGGCGAGGTCAGGGCCTGGGGGGGGGGGCGGCGTCTGGGACTGGGGGTCCCGGGCCGCAGTGCGGGCCTGGGTCTGGGGGGCGTGCGGCCGGCTCGCGGGGGTCGCAGTCTCCAGGGTTGGAAGGTCTCCTGCTGGGAGCCGAGCGCTGGTTTGGGGTGCGAGTTCCGGGGGAAGGAGAAGGCTGTGCACCCCCTTTCGGGGCGAGGTCGTGTCCCCACTAGGAGTTGAGTCCTTAAGAACTCTGCGATGATTTTGAGGGAGCCCCGAGTGCTCGGGGGAGAAGTTAGTGTGTGAGGATGGAAATGTCCTCTGCCTTACAAGTAGACTGCTCTGGGGTGGGGGGGTGGGAGGTAGAAGAGGACCCAGAAGAATCTCTGAGCCCTGGGGCCCGAAAGAAGCGACCCGTAAAAAGATCGGACCCACTGGAAGCAGGAAAGACCCACTGATGATTGGGATGAAGGACAAGAAGAGGGTGTGAGAGGATCGTGGTCTCATGGCAGGAAAGTAGCCCTGATGTCCTTTCCCTGCGGTGTGTCTTTACACCAAAATTGAAGCTAAGAGATTTGACGTCCTTTGTGTCAGTATGTCTCTGATCCCTTCCACGAGTGACAGTAAGGAAAGAGCAAACTCCAAAAAGGCAAAGATCCAGTTTGATTCCCTTAGCCAAGGTTAGTGAGGGATCAAGCCTCCGGGAAGGCTTCAGTGAGACACCCAGGGCCACGAATTAGGAAACTGGGAATGGGGTGATAGGAGAGGAAGGCAGACAGAGCAGACGGCCCACAGCACTTTACCATACTCAGCTCTGCACTTGCAGCGAGAGAGGGAGAGATAGGCAGACAAGAGACAGCGAGAGGGAGAGAGAGACAGAGGGAGAGAGATTTAAGCGTGGCTGGTAGGGACTGTGTGATGTGATTAGATGGGATTCCATGTAACTTGAAAGGAAGGAGTAATTCTTTTAGAGATTAACTTGATTTTTTGGGGGGGAAAGGAGAAAAAAAAAGGAAATAAATCTCACGATGGGGACATATACAGTGGCTCAGGAATAGGGAGGCTGATCAGCTTCCAAGAAGTAATTAAAGGGACTATGTGCTGGACTGAGGTGTGTGTGTGTGTGTGTTACACATACATAAGTGAACCTGTAATTTGTTTGAGTTGGTCATTGTTTCTTCGTCTTTGTGTTATGTGGTGCTACATACATCATCTTTGTTTCTGAAAATCTTCTTAAGTCGTTTGTTCTTAAACTGGTAGTGAGGATTAGCAAGAATTAGTTTTACCAGGGATGTAGGCACTACTGTATTTATAAATAATTTTGATTTCTATTGTAGTAATTCCAACTCCTGATTTTAAGTAAAAGAAGAATGAGAGCTGCCACTGACAATAATGTGGTAATAGGACATCAAAGCAAAAGGGCTTTCATGAATGATTTTTCCTGTTTTTCTCTCCTTCCTCTAAGCATTTTAAGGTTACACAGATTAATTTTAGGAAGGAGAAAAATACATATTCTTGACTCTTTAATACAAAATGATAGCATCTCTCTTTTTTTGTAGAAGTACCTCCCCATATCTTTACTTAACAAGATTAAAATGAGAAAGAAAATAATACAGTAATCCATGATAGCTATGATTCCTGCAGATTTCTTGAGCCTCCTTCATTTTCAAAACAGCGTTAGCATCTTCACTGGAAATGAAACAATACAGTTGAGGTATAAACTAGTTCAGGCTTCATATTTGGAACATTGTTGTACATGTGTGCCATCCTCTGGCTCCATCAAAGTGCACATTGCTCAAGTTTCATATTCAGTTTTGAACAGATTAGGCTGGGTGAACTAGGGAGGCATGGGTACCAGATGGTTTGCAAATATGCTAAGGCCGAAAACATAAATGTGCCTGTGTGGAAGATGCTCATTAGTTGCTTTATTTCCTTTATAGCTGAGCTAACTAACTGGATTTGCACATTCTTTTTTTTTTAAGGAATAACATTTTCTAGTTATTAGTAAAATTGATAGCATAGACGTAGTTCACTTAGAAGGTTTTCTGTCTTTTGTATCACCTTTCATAATCGGATGGAAAGATGATGTGATGATATATAATAATAAACAAAATGTGATATTTGACACTTAGTTTTCCATAAATTGTAGCTTAATACTTTACATGAAAATGCTATTAAAATATTAAACTGATCTCAGCTATAGTTGAGGGAATAGCCGTTTTATTTATGCTGCAGCCGTGTAGATTTGGACTAAGAAGATTGCTTATTGGATTTTTGTTGTTGTTGGTCCTGGGGTCTGAGCCCTGGGCCTGGGTGCTCTACCACTTGAGCCATAGTGCCACTTCCGGCTTTTTCTGTTTATGTGGTGCTGAGGAATTGGACCCAGGGCCTCATGCATGCAAGGCAAGCACTCTTATCACTGAGCCAGCCACCTTCCCAGTCCCTGCTTATTGGAATTTTAACAGTATAGAAAGTTCTGTACCCTAAACTATTTTCTAACTTAACGTCATAGTCAATGCACTTATTCATGGAAGTGTTAGAACTTATTTACTGTACTGTTTGTGGTAATAACCAGGTATTGCATTTTTTTTATCAGCATACATTAGCTATACGAGGGAGGATTTTATTCTGACATTTCCTCTTAACAATGTCCTCCCTCTATTCCTCTTCATTACCCTCTTCCCCTTCCTGATAGAATAGCAACAGGTTCACTGTTCTATTTTCATACATGCGAACCATCTGTTTCTACCATATTCATCCTCATTCACTCTCCTTGTTAACCCAACCCCTCCCGTTAATACCCAGCCCTCCTCAATGGAGCCTGTTTCTCTTTCCCCATTCCATCCTTCCCTGTTGATCAACAGCTTTCATTGAGGTTCTTTATGCCATTTTCACATGTAGTCACATTGTATCTCAAAATTATTCACCCACTGTGTTTTTCCCTTTCTCTTCCTGGATAGTCCCCTAGACTTACATGTATGTTTATTCATTCAGATACGTACGCATACCTATGTTTGTTTATGTCTGTGAATACGTCTTTTAGATCTAGCTTCCACAAATGACTCAGGCCTAGTTTTCTTACTTGGCTCTTTCATTCACCTCTAGCACTCTACCACTTGAGCTACCCCTTCCATTTGGCATTTTGCTGGCTAATTGAAAATAGAGTCTGTCATGGTTTTCTACCCTGGCTGGCTGTTAATCATGACCATTGGATCTCATCCTCCTCAGTAGCTAAAATCACAGTCATGAGCCACCAGTGCTGGGCCCATGTCTTCTCTTTTGAGCTTATGTTATCTTGCTCAGTATATCTTTCCATTCAATCCGTTTTTCTACAATGACATGGGGTCATTTTCTTTTTCTTTTTTTTTTTTTTGGGGGGTCCAGTTGTGGGGTCTGAACTCTGGGCCTGGGCGCTGTCCCTCAGCTCTTCAGCTCAAGGCTAGCACTCTACCACTTGAGCCACAGTGCCACTTCCAGCTTTTTACTTTTTTGCTTATGTGGTGCTGAGGAATTGAATCCAGGGCCTCATGCATGCAAGGCAAGCACTCTACCACTGAGCCATCTTCCCAGCCCGGGGTCATTTTCTTATGTCTATGTAATGTTCCATAATGTATAAACTGTAATAAGCACACTTTTTTTTTTTTTTTTGCCAGTACTTGGGTTTGAACTCAAGGCCTGTGCTTGCATGGCTAGTATTATTACCATTTGAGCCACACCTTCAGTGTGGCTTTTTGCTGGTTATTTTGGAGATGGACTGTCATGGCCTTTTCTGCTCTGACTGGGTTTGAACCTAGTCCTTTGAATCTCAGACTCCTGAATAGTGAGGTGTATTACAGATGTGAACACCAGAACTTAGCTAGTACATTAACTTTTAAGTTTTTGGATATAAATCCCTTTTTATAAATAATCCTATGTGCTTTGTGCTGGTGGCTCACACCTATAATCCTAGCTACCCAGGAGGCTGAGATCTGAGGATCATGATTCAAAGCCAGCCCAGGCAGAAAAGTGCCTGTGAGACTCTTACCTCCAATTAACCACTGAAAAACCACAGGTGGAGCTGTTGGTCAAAGTGATAGAGTACTAGCCTTGAGCAAAAGAGCTCAGAGACAGTCCCCAGGTCCTATGTTGAAGCCCCTCAACTGACAAAAAAATAAATTAATTAAAAAATAAATAAATTTAAAAATAAATAAATTAAAAAGTAATCCTATGTAACTTCAAAAGTAAGATATTTATTTAAAAAATTTATACTGTTCTTGAATAAAGGCCAATATTTCTGTAATATTATTGAAATATTTATTGACTTCTTATTGTTCTATCAGTAACAAGATTTGCATGACTGAAGTTGATGATTTATATTATAATCAAGATATATATTTGAGCTTACATTTTCAAGATTGTATTTTATTTTATTTTTGTCGGTCATGGGGCTTGAACTCTGGGCTTGGGTGTTGCCCTTGTGTTCTTCAGCTCAAGGTGAGCGCTGTACCGATTGAGCCACAGGGCTACTTCCGGTTTATTGGAGATAAGAGTCTCACAGAGTTTCCTGCCCAGGCTGGCTTTGAACTGCGATCCTCAGATCTCAGCCTCCTGAGTAGCTAGGATTACAGACATGAGCCACTGGCACCCAGCTGAGATTGTATTTTATATAA